CAGAGCCACCTTCTTGCCTCATGAAGGAACTGACTCTGCCTTCTTCGTAAGGAGAGGCCTCCACTGTTGTATTGTCTCAGAATTGATAACCCTACACTCATCTATGACGACAAATCGCTCAAGGGAATCTGCTGGCTTCGATTTAGAACGACGTGAATTCTCACGAGAGATGATGAGGCTAGAAAGTGTCTGAAACCCTGAAAGTGACCTGAAACCATCGTAGTGAACACTTGCCATTCCCAGTTTGCCTTAGTGGTGACATCTGAAGGTGTTCCTGATCACGGATAATCGAGGCCGTCTCTTCCCATTTTGAGCCCCACTGTCCTCCTCTTAGAACTCCTCGTCCGCAGATGCAAGTATGATGGCTGCTGAAGTTTCACTCTTTCAGTTGGAGATATTTGATGACTACGCAATAGCCAATTTTGACATTGTCACCAACAGAGAATACCTTACCGTTTTGATTTATGTTTGGTTCAGATATTGCATGTACATAGAAAGTATTCAATTTAATACATGCAAACTGCCTTCGTTGTAAAGCTCAATGATCGTTTAAAAGACGAAGAAAAGAAAAAACAGTCTGAAAAATACTTTGATAACCTTTCAGTTAAAGCAGCAGGTGACTCAGAAGTTGTGAGCTGTGATAGACCACACATTTGATGCATTTCAGAGGTTTCCACCTCCGAGTCCCACAGATATTACGATTCATGTTACATCACATGGCAAACCCCACAGTCGGGTGACATAACTGGGTTGGTGACCAGTTCGGCCTGGTACCAAATTAATGAATTATGTATTCGGTCACTCATACATTCAAAGCAACTGTCACTTGTAATGGTTAGCCCGTCCATGTGATCAACAGTTATCACAAACTCGACGCTCGATACTTGTCTTACCCCTTTGTTTCAATATCGGTAGATGTATCAGGGTACGCTCGAATATGCTAATTGGCTCGGTTGGGGTACGCCCATATGTTAGAAGTACGTCGACTTGTTACGCAGCCTATATGCATTGGGACTGTTCCATGGGTTTATTATTGGAATCGTACTGCCATCACCACAGCACGGGGATCTTTGGGGTCGCGCTGGGAATCTATTTTACGTCATCGTATACATATTCTGACATAGTTATGCAAACACCTTCAATGTCAGAGGGGGTGGGCAGCGGTCTGAGGCGACGCAGATCGTTTTCCTTAGCGCCACACAGTAGGAACTGAACAAAACTGAACAAGGGTTCGAATCCCAGAATTCGCCCTTATCAGGATCTGCTGTCTGACCGCTACCAACCTGTGTTCGTAGACACCTACGGTGAATCGAGCATGGCAATAAAAACTGCGAGCGAGTGAGTATTTGAGTATATATTACGACTATGTACATCATTTCCACCTGGTGAAAACACGGCATGATGTTCATAAACCAAGCGTCTTAATCAGGATTCGATCCTGGCGGTGGTAAGGGACAGAACTCTGCACTGCGAATTTGGTCATCCGCGTCCTTCCGTTCCTGCAGTAGTGGTGTCGAATACGTGTGCATCATAACGTAACCCGATACATATAGATACTTGAAATCAGCTATGAAGGAGATGAATGTACATGGGTTTCCCACATACGCAGTTCACTGCAAACCGGATATCCTGTCTTCTGGGGCAATTCCGCATACCGTGAGGTATCCGGTTGAGGCAGAATGTGAATGGAGGAACATAAGCATAAGACAGGATATCTAGGTACAGAAACTCCGCGGCATGTTTAGAAAATGCACTTTGCATGTGACGTCAGATCCTAGCTTCAGGCGCCAGTATTTCACAATGGATCTGTGTTGTCTAAGTTTGCCAACTTAACGATCGCAGTCCTGGTATGTAATCGTTTGTAGATTCGTCGATATTGTAAAATTAATATGTAGAAGATTTCTCAGTCCCAATAACACGCGCACATTGTGGCATAAAAAACCCATGTATGAGTGTCTGAAGCGTGAATAAAATACCATTACAGTACTTACCTCCCTTTATAATCCGGTGGGTCAGTTCCGCAGCCCCATTTCGTAAACGTTGTTGGAGATAACTTTCACATCATATATAACCTGCATACATATCTCGAACATACACTTACACCTCATATATAACCTGCATACATATCTCGAACATACACTTTCACATCATATATAACCTGCATACATATCTCGAACATACACTTACACCTCATATATAACCTGCATACATATCTCGAACATACACTTACACCTCATATATAACCTGCATACATATCTCGAACATACACTTTCACCTCATACACCGGCCTCGGGCATTCTTAACATCCATTCACACATGTTCGAATGACAGATTTGTGGTCGGCCGTTGTACTTCACCAATGTTTCATGACAACAAGTAGTAGTAGTAGTAGTAGTAGTAGAGGTAGTAGTAGTAATAGTAGTAGTAGTGGTGGTAGTGGTAGTAGTAGTGGTGGTGGTGGTGGTAGTAGTAGTAGTGGTGGTAGTAGTAGTAGTGGTAGTGGTAGTGGTGGTGGTGGTGGTGGTGGTGGTGGTGGTAGTAGTAGTAGTAGTAGTAGTAATAATAATAGTAGTAGCTATTCTTCTGGTAGCGGTTACTGTAGTGGTGGTCCGACAACCCAACCCTCCACCCCGACACCGCACGCACGCACGCACGCACGCACGCACGCACACACGCACGCACACACAAACACACATTGGATCCGCCAATGATGGTGATGGTAGTGGCAGAGGTTGCGGTAGCTCTATGCCTAGCAGTACGAATAGCGGTTGTAGTGGTTTGATGCAGGTCTCAGTCAAACATAACACAACGCTAGCCATGTCAAGACAATCATACTGGGATTAACAGCCTACACTGCTGGAAATATGTTTAGAAAGTACAATTCTTTTATCTGAAGGGAATGTTTATACATCCTAAACGGAATACACTGGTGTGTTCTATCTAAAATCTAAAAACATATAGCGTCCTAATGAAAATGAAATGAGCTACCGTCTTACAGTCACTTAAACTAAAATACCCAATAATCTAAAGATGTTTACAACTGAAATATGTTTTTATGTGTTTGCGACAGTTCTTATCAGTGTGTTATATTCTCAAAATGTAAACGTTTTCAGAAGTTAAATATGTATAATTAGAATGACATCACAAGTCAAATATGGATAAGGTGCATACTTAACATAAACATTCCATGTGCAAATCAGATTCACAAGCACCTGCATAAGACATTTACCGCCAGGACTCAGTAAATTAGTAACATAATAAATGTAGAAATAAATAAAGCTAAATGCTGACAAAAATGTATTATTTGTGACGTCAATAGTCACCTCTTTGAAGAGTGGTAGAGTGAAGATTTACAAATCCAGAAGCTGACAAGCAGTTCCTTATCCCTGTGAGATATTGTTCATTAATGTGTTGTTACATAGCAATATACCAACTCATTCATACAGGACACAATATCCCCATAGGAAGCACCCTCTTTCCCCATTGTCACCCTCAGGGTGTTTCCACTCTAACATCCGAAACACGTTTTAAGCTTTTAAACAATATCATCACTATGTTTCCAGCCCCCACGCGCCACAATTCAAGGACAAGGGCATGCTTGTGTTTGTGTTCAGAAACACATTTGTTTACAGCGGACAAACGATGAGACAACAACAGCGTAATGATCAGGTAAATTCCTAGCTGCATTACTAACATGTATGACGGTCGCTTGAATAACGGGTACTGGCCAAGTTCATTCTGAAACTTTACAGAAAAAACAAACCAACTAAAACAAAACACTTCCGACAGAACTTCGTCCAGATCTTCTTCCACGTGAACTGTCCGAGTTCCTTTTATAAGACAGGGAACAAAAGCAAACAATGTCAAACCATGTGTGGAGAATGTTTGATCAGAACTACGGATACCTGGCAAGATCGGTATATTTCTGTTAAAGGGTGAGTCTTGTCTTAGAAACTATTATGCTAACTTTTGTTGGTAAAATGTTTTTTAGAGAGATTTTCCTATCAAATTTCACACACTTATTGAATATGAATGTAATTAGTCATACCTGTCTTGTTCCAGCAACCTTGGGCGGTGGGGTAGCCCAGTGGTTAAGTCGTTCGCTCGTCACGCCGAAGACCCGGGTTCGATTCCCCACATGGGCACAATGTGTTAAGTTCATTTCTGGTGCCCCCGCCGTGATGTTATTGGAATATTGCTAAAGGCGGCGTAAAACTAAACACATTCACTCCAGCAACCTAACGCGCTCTCCATACGACATCAGTCCGGGTCGAGTAGATCGATGTGTCAAATGTTTGTAACTGAAAACCTGGAAATACGTGCCGCTTGGTTTGTGATAACGGGAGTCAGATGTGGATACAAACTGTTTCCCTTCAACACGAGAAATAATTTAAATTTTAAATTTCAATGTCAATACAAACAAAACAAAAGCGGGCGTGTCTATTTATGAAAGTGATAACGCGAATGCTTTTAAATGAACATTTTGGCTTTTACACTTTTTACACATTTTGATAATATTTTGTAATTTGGAAATAATAATAGAAGTAGTAGTAGTAGTGGCTTTTACACTGGTATTTTGCACATTTTTTACATTTTGTATTTTGAAAATAATATTGTAGTAGTAGTAGTAGTAGTAATAGTAGTAGTAGTAGTAGTAGTAGTAGTAGTAGTAGTAGATCTAGTAGTAAATTACCCATAACATATTTCAAGGGGTGTATCTTAACAACATTTAAACCCGAAGTTACTATTTGTGATGACGAATTATCCAGACACGTAATTTACCAAATAGTCGCAAACAGAAACGCCAGTAATGCCGTGCCCATCAGGAGGTTATTACCATTTGCTAGGCGTTACAGTGCCAATTGATAATAACCACTGACGAGTGAATTCATCGGACCTGCCCTTGGCACGCCACTACAGGCGATTAGGAGCTACTGACATGCTTGAATATATGCAATATGCATGGCCTGGAGTAACGGTACCAACCCCACCTGCCAGTGACAGCCAGGCGCCATTTTGATCAAGTCACATGACCGCTCACCTTCATATTCCGCGAAACAGTGCGAGTCGGGCGAGGGCCTGTCAACAGTGAGAAGATCGTAAGCTCTCGGCAACCAACTGTAGATTCTCAGTGATGAGGTTGCAACGGAAGCTTGCGTTTACTTCTTGATGCTGCACACGAGAGGCCATTGTGCATGGATGTATATCATAGTTTTGGAGTTTATCAGTAACATTTGAACGGAGTTATAATCGTGTGTGAGGTCGGTTTTCTCAGTGGAAAGGAATACTCTCTCTGTGGTGGGCTTGTGTCAAAATACACTCTCGCCTCTCACAGGTTTCCGAACTAGTCGTGATCGACCGTTATTAGTGATCTACTATAGAAAGCCCGTCAGATCGCTGTGAAATGAAAGAAAAGGGGCTTGTGAAATAGCCTAATACAGTATGGCGGGGGCCAAACCCGGCGTGCATGTCGTCCAGCTCAGGCCCATCCGTGTTCCGGAGATTCTGATCAAAGGACACAAGTTTATCAAATGGGATGATGTAAGTACTTGCCTTTCTTAATTGTTTATTGACACAATCACGGTTGAGTGGCGATTCACGTGGGTCAAGCCAACGCTGATGCGTGGAGCGACAGAAAGCCACGCCTTTTTGGAAAGAACGTTTGTGCATAACGGGAGGTTCACTGATCCATTGACAGCAGTGCTATCAAGGTTCTTGTGGAAGCGTAACGGGGTCCGCGCCACTGTCTGTCTGTAATTATATATACTTTGCCACAAGTCATTGACTCTCTTTCAGCTTCACAAATCAGATGATTAGATTTCTTTTGTGTACAAAAATACTGATGGTTTTAGCGCTAGAAGTCCGCGCTGCCGCCGAGAAGCAGGCGAATTCCAAATGTCAATATAATAAACATAAATATTATCACACATTTATGCTGTTTACGGGTTACAGGGCATATTCAAGGCATATATAAGCCAACTGCCAATCGATATATAATTTCAACCACAACACCATGTCAGTATGGGTGTTGTTGCATTTGATAACAACAAGCTATTCTTTGTTGGTTATGACAATTTGTTTCAAAAGGGATCATATCAGCGAAATTTCACGTGACTCTACTTGGACATTGTTGGTCTCATTATGCAATGGTTCTCAAACTCAGCTTGTAGTTACAATGGAACTGCAGGGTATGAGTAGGAAGGACATTATCTTATAGAAACATATATATAAGTATACATACTGGGAAAATATTGCATGCATCATATAAATCAAACATATCAGAACCTTTAAATTCTGATTTTTGCATCATGTTATATATAAGTTCATTTGTTGACATTTGTTACTGGCCAAGTGTTCAGCATACGACTTATGACATACAACTATATACTAGTCTTCTGTGTCATCATTTCAGATAACATGATTTATATCCTAACAATCAGTTTCATTACTTGTTAAAAGTGGGTAAATAGGATCAATATGTCAAACTATTAAATGAATATGTATTGTTATCTAAAATATTATTAAGCTCTTTTTAGAGAAATATTTTTTGAAACTTACATATGTTTTTTTTGGTATTCATTTCCCCTTTGTCAGTGTATGCATTTTTCATTCTATGAGAATCTGTTGGTGGAAAACCAAGCTAGTTGTGAAATACATTTTACAGAATGCTTCTCAGTATACCGAGTTTGTGTTAACAGTTTGACAAAAGCGCTTCCCCAGAAGCTAGTTAACATAATACCATCTCTGTGACCCATACCCACCTGTTTCATATTGATTGTGTATATTGACCAGACTCCTAACTCACTCATGGTATATTGTTGGGGTATAGGAAATCATGCTAGAATCTCAATCAACAGCTAGAATTTCACAATACTGATGAATGGGCTTTTCAATGAGGTGAATAGCAAAACAGATGAGATGGAGAAATATTGACATCTCTAAAATGCAGGTACTTGAAAACAGTGCATAGTTGGACATGGTGATATTGACAATACATACATCCCAACGGCTGAAATTGACGAGGCAGGGAAATGATGACTTAAATTATTGATGTAGGTCATGATTTGTTGACATGTTGGAGTTGTAATGGTGATGGATGTGGTTGATTTGTGGGGGGAATGTCAGCCTGTATCTGTACATTGGAGAACGTTAGCATGGAGACACCACACTGGCATATTCTGTATGTTCATATCTGGCAGAAGAGTAGAGTAAAGGCCTGTGTATGTTTTATTAGGAGTTAGCATTGAGGTTAGAATATGTACTTCTTTAGCAATGTTCTTCGATCTGCCTCCAATAAAATGAAATATGTATATAAAAAGTGGTAATGCCCCTGAGGTCAGGAATCGCAACCTGTTCATCGCAGTATTGATATATTGCATCTAGCATCCACAATGGTCAATATTTTGCTTCAGTTATTGATCAAGAAATCCATTGTGTTCTTCAAGCCAGAAATCACACCAATTCAAATAACTCAACCTTCAGTTTTGTATCATTGTATCTATCAGTTTTATTTATCATTACTTCATCACTTCAAAGAATCTACAGAGAATGATCACAAAGTTGATATCAGTTGGATTTTACAAGTGATACTCCAACTGTACATTTTCTATCAAACATACTGAAACATATGTCACATATTATTTTTATACATATTGAACTATAGCAATATCAGAGAGTAGTCCTTACAAGGAAGTACATTTAGAGGAATGGAATTTAATAGTGTACCTGTAAGATACACCACACCATAGCTAGTCTTGTGTAAACAGGTCAATAAACAATAAAACAAGACTTTTAGGATAAATCCGTCTGTAAATGATTCTAATATATCTGCTATACCTTTTCTAAATTATTTCCTACTGTATCGCATATTTTATTCACATACTCGGACCCTTTTTGGAAGGTTTAAGCAGATCAATGCCACACACAAGTCGGTTGGTTTGTTGTGAAGATGAAATAGGCATTCAGTTTCTAGAACAATTCTGTTACTATGAAAAAATTGTTTACATTTTCCTTTGGTTGATGAAAAGATATTTGATGTTATTGATAGCATGTGCCAGTGTTTTGGCTTGCTGGAAAAAGATACAAATTGCAGAACCTGAAATTAAAGTTATTGTGGTATTGTTGTCAAATGTTGTTCACTGAAGGAGTAATTGCTCTTTGAGATATCTGAAATCAGCCATTATCTTTAATAAAATATATGGAACAAAAGTTGTTCGATTTGTAGCAAGTTGAACATCAGTGGCAGAGAACATGTATGGCCATCAAAGATTGTTTTGGTAGCAATAGAGAGACAAGGAAGTGGGTGATAAGGTAGTCATATAAGTGTTTAATTGTGAAATTGTTTACTGATGTATTGATGATTAGTGTTTTCAGACTAAATTAAATGGACATATATGGAACAAAAGTTAGCTTTCAAAGGTAGTATTAAAATTGTAATTTCAGTTAGCTTTTGTAATCCCTAATTAGATGTTTAATTAGAAAAAAACAGCTAGTGATAATTAAGTATAGGTTTATGATAAAAGCTGGTGGAAATGTGGATTGGGTGGTCACAATGGGCCCTAGTTGTTGTCTTGTATATCATGGATGTGATTCCCGATGCTACAAACCACTAGGTCACTGGTTCAATGTGCTGGTCGCTGAGCAGGCTAAAATGTGCCAGGAATATTGCTGACCTGGCATGAAGAAACATTCACTTCACTTTGAAAAACAGGACCATAATTTTATTAATGGACATATCATCAGTCTTCTTTTGAAATAAACACTGTATTTTGTTGTGTAATAGTGCACAATTTGTTCTCCCAATACAGCTGTGTAGAGGGGGTTAGGTGGGTGAGGTTGGGCTTTATACACTCCGTACTGAGTTTTGCATGTGACACTGGAAATACCATGGCAACAAATGTTTTGTCTTGTGATTTCACTCTCTGGTTGTATGTAGTGTTAGTTAGATATCCAGACTTATGTTTTTAATCTTATTAGTTTTATTCAAAATTTCCTTTTAATATTGCATACAATAAGCACAGCAAAATCATGAGCGAAGTTATTAGCAGTGCACCAACTCAACAACATTTACAGCAACCACTCTCACTTTACTACCTGTGAAGATCTGGGTTACAGTTGGTCTACAGCAACCACTCTCACTTCACTACCTGTGAAGATCTGGGTTACAATTGGCCTTCAGCAACCACTCTCACTTCACTACCTGTGAAGATCTGGGTTACAATTGGTCTTCAGCAACCACTCTCACTTCACTACCTGTGAAGATCTGGGTTACAATTGGCCTTCAGCAACCACTCTCACTTCACTACCTGTGAAGATCTGGGTTACAATTGGCCTTCAGCAACAACTCTCACTTCACTACCTGTGAAGATCTGGGTTACAATTGGCCTTCAGCAACCACTCTCACTTCACTACCTGTGAAGATCTGGGTTACAATTGGCCTTCAGCAACCACTCTCACTTCACTACCTGTGAAGATCTGGGTTACAATTGGTCTACAGCAACCACTCTCACTTCACTACCTGTGAAGATCTGGGTTACAATTGGTCTTCAGCAACCACTCTCACTTCACTACCTGTGAAGATCTGGATTACAATTGGTCTTCAGCAACCACTCTCACTTCACTACCTGTGAAGATCTGGGTTACAATTGGTCTTCAGCAACCACTCTCACTTCACTACCTGTGAAGATCTGGGTTACAATTGGTCTACAGCAACCTCTCTCACTTCACTACCTGTGAAGATCTGGGTTACAATTGGTCTACAGCAACCACTCTCACTTCACTACCTGTGAAGATCTGGGTTACAATTGGTCTTCAGCAACCACTCTCACTTCACTACCTGTGAAGATACCTGTGAAGATCTGGGTTACAATTGGTCTTCAGCAACCACTTTCACTTCACTACCTGTGAAGATCTGGGTTACAATTGGCCTTCAGCAACCACTCTCACTTCACTACCTGTGAAGATCTGGGTTACAATTGGTCTTCAGCAACCACTCTCACTTCACTACCTGTGAAGATCTGGGTTACAATTGGCCTTCAGCAACCACTCTCACTTCACTACCTGTGAAGATCTGGGTTACAATTGGCCTTCAGCAACCCACCTCTCACTTCACTACCTGTGAAGATCTGGGTTACAATTGGCCTTCAGCAACCACCACTCTCACTTCACTACCTGTGAAGATCTGGGTTACAATTGGCCTTCAGCAACCACTCTCACTTCACTACCTGTGAAGATCTGGGTTACAATTGGTCTACAGCAACTCTCACTTCACTTCACTACCTGTGAAGATCTGGGTTACAATTGGTCTTCAGCAACCACTCTCACTTCACTACCTGTGAAGATCTGGATTACAATTGGTCTTCAGCAACCACTCTCACTTCACTACCTGTGAAGATCTGGGTTACAATTGGTCTTCAGCAACCACTCTCACTTCACTACCTGTGAAGATCTGGGTTACAATTGGTCTTCAGCAACCACTCTCACTTCACTACCTGTGAAGATCTGGGTTACAATTGGTCTACAGCAACCTTTCTCACTTCACT